GGAAAAGAACCAAGGCCTCCCCCCCCCCCCGTCCCTCCCCTCCCCTTTATACTCAGCAGAAATCTAACCTTGGGGGGGGGGGTCATAAACCTCAGTTCCTCTCTGGTGGTTGTGGTTAATGTAACTAACCCTGTGGTACCAAAGCCCTGGGCAAATGGTCTTGCAAGAGCTAAACATGTAGTGATATTCCCAGGGCTCAACACAACTGATTCTGGTTCACATCTCTATGGATCCTTCTCTTCCTTCTCAGTCTAGCCTTCTCCACTGTGCTGGTGGGGACAAATTGGTTGTTCCACCATCAGCCCTTAGCATGCCTCTTTCTAAACATGTCTTTCTGACTTGTAGACTCTGGACAAACCAAATTCAGGCTAGGGGTCAGCAGGTGCAACTCTGTTTTGAGGTCCAAGTCCTACTGCTCACTCTGGGCTTGAATTTGGCCCTTGAATTCCAGTTTCAATTGCGAATGCCGGGGGCAGGTGGGGGGAGGGGGGAGGTTCACCAAAAAAGCAACCAACAAACCCAGCAGCATCTCAGGATTGGTTTGGAGCATTAAATGATCCAAGTTGCTGGGGAGAGGCAAAATCCCTGTTCCAGGTGTATTTGACAAAGGCTCACTCCAAAAAGAAACTCAACCTGCTTTGGGAACTGATGAATGTGAGGGCTGCTCTTGGGGCGGGAGCAGGGAGGGACTATCCAGACTTTCCCACTGAGCTCAGGAAAGTCAGTGTTGCAAGATTTCTTGTGATAAGTGTGCAACCACGTACCTCATGACGTGGCTCCCATGAGAATTCATGCCAGACGCAGACTTGTGCCAGAGCCCAGCTCTGGAGCAGTTCAACCCGCACTGCAGGACGGAGGAGTGGAGAGTAGGCCAGGGAAGAGAGCATGGGGAGGGGGAAGGATCAGCAAACAGTGGTGGGGTCTGCTAGGGAGGGGGCTGTGCAGCTACTGATCCAGGACTTGGGATCCCACGTAGTGTTTTAACAAAGCCAGACATTTGTTGAATTCCAGGGTGCTGATCCTGTTGTGGGGGGTGGGGGGTTTGTCTTGTGGGTTCTTTCATCAGATCCCTCGATGGCTTTATAGCCCCACAATTCACAGTTGCCTCCTCTTGTTCTGTGTGTAACTTCATCAAGTGGTTCTGGTGACACTCAAACCTAGAAGCCAGAGATAGTGTTTTCCCACCAGCACCTAAACACAGAATTTCCTTCTGCGGCATTGTTGAAATAGTTAATTTTTTTATAAGGTTACAATGTTTCTATTTGAAACATCTGTTTACATTCCATATTCCAATAAAGTTCTATTGGCATCGATAGCAGGTCAATCCATTTGTATAATTCACTGAAACCAATAAATATCTATACGTCTGAACGTCTGCCGTCTCCTATCTATGGGATAGCCAGAAGCAGCGAGAGCTGAAGGCCTTGCCTCCTCAAGAAGGTCAGGTTGGCTCTTCGAGCCCCTCTTGTCTGAGGATTTTGGAATCTCTTAGTCCTTGGTTGCAGCTCTTCACACTGTCAGCCCTGAGAGTCTGGCTGTGGCAAGTTCTGGCAGAGGAGGTGCAGGGTTTGGTGTGGTGTGGCAGTCAGCTGCTGAGGTGCTTTGGACAGCTGGTGGCCAGGGCAGCAGCTTTGGGCTGTCTGTGACACAGCTGGTCAGGCGAGTGGTCACCAGGGCATGGCTGGAAGTTGGGGGTTCTTCACACAAGTCCCCCCATGCTTGTCTCCTCTCAGCCTGGGTGGATGGCTGAGCAGGGAGTAGCTTTTTTGTCCTACCCTGGGATGTGAGGGATGTGTGAACTCAGTTATCAGTGTCCAGGCTGAGGGGGCCGTGGTGGTGCTGCTGTGGCACAAGGCTCTCACTGACACTGCTGCTCGTGCAGATGCTGCTGAAGGCTTTGGCCAAGTGTTTCCAGCCCTCTGCCCTTCCATCCACCTGAACTGCAGCTGTCTGGCCTGAGAGGCTTGGGGATCTCTGCTCTGAAGCTGTGTTCATGCCAGCAGGGCTGATGGGGTTTCTTAACATTGCTTTCAGAACTTATTTTGAGCAGGTATTTCATTGTTCCTTTGAGAGGAGTGGATGTTTCTTATGGCCTGTCCAAGTTGCTAGGGAGGAAAGTTGCCTGTTTTCCAGCTCTTGTGTGTTGGTGTTCTCATCTGGAGTGCCAAGGCAGAAGAGGCATGGGGGAGAAGAACGGGTTCAGTCTGGGAATTTTAAGATGTGAAAAACCTCAATGGTTGTATATGAGTGTTTGACAGTGTCCAAACCTGATGATGGAGCTTCAAGGTGGTGCTTCAGGAAGTATTAGTTCCATTGACTTGAGTCAGAAATTCTTTCCTGCTACCCTCAAGGAGAGGAAGAGATGCTCTTCCCAGTGCGTGAGATGGGTAAATGGCCTTTCCTGGTGGCAACTAGAACAACCTGCACTGTATCTCCCCACATCCCTGCCCCAGCTGTAGGGTAAGATGATCTGTGACAGATTCATCCTGGAGAGAAACATGGCAGCTGAGCAAGCACAGCCTGGGAGTCAGGAGGGCGTGGAGTGTTCTGGTCTCCAGGCAGTGTGGATGCTTGGCTGCATGTCAAGCCAGTTCCTCTTTGCAGCCATGAGCCCTTCCAGCACTCAAAGCAGGAAGCCCTGCTCTTCCCTGGACCTTAGCAAAGCATTGTGCTGCCTGTAGGGACAGCTGGGAGCTGAAGACAGTCTTGTCCTCAGGGAGGGAAGAAGTGGGGGAATGTGCATCTTCATATGCTTTCCTCTGGAGAAAATTGGGAGAGTTCTGGTGCACATCCTGGCCTTTCAGCTGGCATGGGCCCAGCTCTCTAGCAGAGGTGGAACATGGGTTGTGCTGAGTGTTTGGAAGAGGCTCAAAACCAGAATGACAGCAGCCATTAAGGAGTGTGGGAGGAGAGGGATGCTGGAAGCAGCTTCCCCAGCTCGTCCCTACCTGTTCCAAGTGTGCTGTGGCAGGACAGGAGCCTTCAGTGGGGCTACAGGAGATGCTGGCACCAGTGCAGGGAGACTTGGCACAGCTTGGGGAGATAAAAATCCAAACTTGTGTCTGGCTGCCCGTGAAAGTGCTGCTTTGATGGACTGTGTGTCTCCCTTGCCTTGCCCAGCCCTGCCTTCCCCTCTCACCCCACCACCCCTTCCAAAGCAGGCTGAGGGTCTACTGCTGCCCCAATGTCCAGAGGGGCATGGAGGATGCACCAGGCCTCGCTGCGAGTGGGGCAGCAGGATGTGGGGTAGTGTGTCCAGGCATCTCCTCATCACCTGAACCCAAGGAGCTCTGTGTCTAGCTGGCACATGTCTAGCTCCATGACACTCACTTCCCTCCTCCCATCTCTCCTCAGGTCCGATGCTGTTGCTCCCAATTTTCCATAAGCAGAATGAGAACCAAATCAAACATCCTATCGGATCGTGTAGAGTGACGGCCGGCGGACTGCGCGGCGCGGGCAGCGCTGCAAGCGGCAGCACGCCTGGCTGGATGGCACCCACCTCTTAATGACCACAGTGTTAAAGGTTCTTCTGCCTTTGGTTCCTTGTTGAGCTCTTCCTGACCCAGAAAGTGTGGAAATGTGAAGGGTGTGCAAAGCAGTTGTTGGTTAGTTGTTCCTTCTTCTGTTTTGGCTGTTTCCCCCCCCCCACCTCTGGCAGACCATGGTCAGCCACCTTGCGCCTGTTCTCTGCCATGGAGGTGGCAGGGGGTGTAGTATAATGATGGACAGTTATATATTATAATTAAAAGAATTCTATATTGTTGAATAAAAGTTTTAAAAGAAGGCTACGAGGAGTATTCCATGGGGAGGGAGTGGTGAGGCAGGAGAAGCCCTGGGTGCTGGCAGCGTGAGCGGTTCCCTGGGCCCTGCAGGGACAGGCTGGGCCAGGGGAGCAGGAGGAACTAGTTGTACAAAATCACCACAGGTAGAGGCAAAGGAGCCACTTGCCACCTTCAGGGGTGTCCCTCCTTTGCCCCCCATGCTCTTCTGGAGCTGCCTGCTTAGTGCTAAAGCTGGTACCTGCTTTTCCAGCCCATGGGGCTTGGGCATGGCTCTGTCTGCACCACAGGAGTTCTGATCTCTTCCTCAGGCTGAGATTCTCCTCCTCCTCCCCAAGACCATTACTGCAAAGCCCTGAGCTTGCAGCTCCTGCCTGCAGAGCTTCTTTGTGGCAGGAGTTCCCCCACAGACATGGTGCTTCACCAGCTCCCAGAACAGCCTGGCTGCAATGCTGCTGTCTCAGCTGTGCTCTGGTCTTAGATGTTACCAGACCACTTGAAGCTCTGGTGTAAAAACCTCCAGCTGGATTCTGTACAACTACAACACAGTCATTTCTCTTCCATTGTCCCATTCCTTCCCTGCCCATGTGTTTTTCCCCTGTGCTGAAGCTGCCCAGGCTAAGGGGGCCTCTGAGACAAGGCTCTGGACTGGGAAGAGACCCATGGCCAGGTCCCAGGGAGGTGCTGGGCAGGGTGAGCCGTGGGCTCCTGCCAGCACAGAACCACATTGTCACTCTCACTCAGCCCTGAGCCAAAGTGGAAATGCAGGAGTGAGTCCTCGCATGAAGGTTGTGGGTGGTATAGGTGAAAATATGGCACCACTGTCACAGCGTGTTACACCTGGAGATGTGTCCATGTGGGGCCAGATGTGAGCATGTACCTCAGGTAAGTTGAAGCTGCTGGTGTGGTCAGGCAGGGCTCGATCCATTGACAAGGCATGGTGTAATGATGGCCCTGTTGTATCCAGGACTGTGCTGATCTCTGCCACCTAAATTCAGCAAGACTTTTTTTTTTTTTGGCTGGTGTAGGTCAGGGGTGAGAGGCTGTTCCTGCAGGGAAGAGCCTGTGGCAGAGTCCACCTGAGGTCCACATGTGCTGGGCAGAAGCAGCTCTGTGAGCACATGGAGAACTGAGATCCCAGTGGCACATTCAAGTGCTGTTGCCACCTCATCCCTCTCCCAAGACACTTGGGTCTTGGACTTGATGATCTTAGAGGTCTTTTCCAGCCTTGGCGATTCTGTGATTCTGTCTTGCCCCCTGGCCCCACCTGTTGCCTGCCCAGGTCCTCTCCAAATCAATGGTTTGTCTCTAAAGGATGCTCTCACAGACTTTTTTTGACTGTTGCTTGTCAGAAATAAACTCTCCTTAGGCCTGTTTTTTGTCTCCAGTTTGTCCAGAGCCAGAAGGGGTTTGCTCATTCTCACCCCATGTTCCATTGCATGGTGGTCCCACAAAGGCAGTGTGTCCTGCTTCCTGACTTCCTCTGCTGAAGGGCTCCAGCACACCTGGCACTGCCTCCTTCTGCACCCGCTGATGTTTACACCCCTGGTGTCTTCTGATCCCATGCTCAGCAGCAGCCCAGCTTCCTCCTCCTCCTTCTGCAATTGCTCAAAGTTCAGCCAGCATGAGGTGAAAAGCCTTTCTTCGGGTTCCCTCAGCACCCAAAACCACTTTTGCACTTTGTCTCCCCTTGCATCTGATGGCTGTGGGTCTCCTGCCCAACTCCTTTCTTGGTTTCCTCATCCACTGCCCTTCATCCAGTCCTGCTCCTATGGAAATGTCCAGGTATCTGGAGTCATCTGGACAAATCCCAAACTCTCACACTCCTTGCAGAAGTCATTGCTCTGCCCTCACTTTTGCCAAGCAGGGAAGGCTTTCGGCTCACAAAGGTATTGACTTAATCCAGTTCTGTTTTTACCAGTCCAAGCACCATCCTTCCAGCTGCCTCACTGGGCCATGCAGCCAGTCTCAGGCATCTGCTCCCCGGAGAGGGATTAATGCAAGAGGGCAATGGTCTAGATTAAGATCTCCCAGGCTGTGAACCTGGACTCTGCCCCAAGGCAAGCACAGGCTTGGTAACACAGGAGAGGGCAAATACATTTTGCTCTAGTAACTGCACCCAGTAATGTGAAACTTCAGAGAAGCGACATTTGAGGAGCTTCCTGAAGATCTCGTTCCTCCAAAGGCATTGGATTGCTGGGAATGCTTTAGGGTTGGTTACTTCTGGAGCAGGGGACCTCTGCTTGCTTCTTGGACCTGCTTATTCTCTTAGGATGGGCCTTTGTCCACTCCCCAAAATCCAGTCCTGCTACATCCTGGGAAATGGAAGTGGGGGTGATGTTCCAACATTTTCCCAGCGATCTTTGAAGTGGAAAATATTGCTGTGTGAGTCTCACTGAGATACGTCTCTCAGAGGCCTCTTTCTGAATGCCACCTATTAACCTGTGCTAACATCTCCGAAGGCTTCCCGATTTCTGCCCTCTCCTTTAGCTCCCAAATGCCTGGAAAAGGAGAAGAGGCAATGAGTGTTATTTTTTGTTACAATTCTTTGAAAAACTGGGACAATGTGAAACCACAACTACTATTCATATACATCAGTTGCAGCAAAACATGGTGTGAGTGAGCAGGCTGTTCAGGAATGGCAGATGGGTATTTGTCCCAATTGGCTCTTGCCATCTGATGAAGGGAACAAGTTATTTAATCACAGCACATTAAATGCACTCAAACCCAGTAACTAAATACAGAATCCCAGATGGGTTTGGGTTGGACGGCACCTTAAAGATCATCTAGTCCAATCCCCCTGCATGGGCAGGGACACCTCCCACCAGCCCAGGTGGCTCAGAACCCCATCCAACCTGCCCTTGAACACTTCCAGGGATGGGGCAACTACAGCTTCTCTGGGCAACCTGTTCCAGTGTCTCACCAACCCATAGTGAATAATTTATTCCAAATATCTATTCTGTATCTCCCCCCTTACAGTTTTAAGCCATTTCTCCTTGTCTTCTTGCTACAAGCCTTTGTCCTAGGCCCCTCCCCAGCTTTCCTGGAGCCCCTTCAGGCACTGGAAGGTGCTCTAAGGTCTCCTTGGAGCCTTCTCTTCTCCAGGCTGAATACTCCAACTCTCCCAGCTTGTCTCCATTGCAGAGCTGCTCCAGGCCTCGGATCATCTTCATGACCCTCCTATGGAGTCTGCTCCAAGTGTTCCATGTCCTTCTTACGTTGGGAGCTCCAACATAAGATGAAGCAGTTGTTGCTTGAAAAGCTGCCTGAGGAAATTCCACTGTGACAGCAAGGATGAACAGCAAGCATGACACAGGACTGGGAAAACCTCCCACACCAGCCAATGTGCAGAAGGCTCCTCTGGGAAGCACAATTTGCAGATGTCCCAGTGGTTTCTGACCTAATGAGGCAGCAGCCCCTGTCACCAACACGTCCATACCAGTGCCACATTGACGTGCAGCACAAACCAGCCTGGCTGGCAGCAGAGGGCTGGGAAATGGCTTGGTGGAGGGTGGGCCATGCCCACTGCCACTGTGTGACCAAAACTCCCCTGTCAAAGGAGTACCCTTTCCCTTGGCCACAGGAAAGGGCCTGGCCATGTCCTGATGGACCTGAGTTAAGAAATGGCTTGGAAGCTGCTTTTGAGTACTCACACGTCAGGGTAGTGCTGCCCAAACTGCAGGTCCACAGGCCGTGGTCTACATGGGGAGCAGTCACTACCTGTCTTTTAATGTTCAGCAG